CACTCACAGAAAGGATCTGACGGACATTTAAGCTACAGCAGCACCTGCAGCGCAGAAGGAAGGGCGAGAGCACAGAGAAACTGTTTAGAGAGTCAATGGTTCCTACTTATTTACTCATTCAACAAATTTTGGGGAACGTGTCCTCGTGTTGTTTCAAATATTCATCTCACACGAGTTTTTCCAGTTACGTGGCACACTGTTTTCCCCAAAACTCAGTTCTGCTCACTCTAAAGCTGTCATCCACAATTGATTTACAAGAGAGTAACTCGACAGCGTAGAGTCTAAGAGAAAGCAGTCAGTGCATCACGGGTGATGGCTGGATATGCTATAACATAAACAGCTTCCCTTCAGTAAAGAACATGTTCTAAAAAACATGACTTCCAGTGTCTTCAAGTGGGGTTGGGGGTGGTACCAGTGTAAAATGACACAATGGCGACGTCACAGCATCACCACCACTCGCGGGAAGGACCGCTCACCTTCCTGGAGACGCTCCTGGTGCGTGTCCTTGGCTTTTGTTTGCTGAATCTCCAATTGCTCTATCAACAACTTGTTTTCCTCTAAAACCAGTTCTGCTTGAGTCTGAAGCTGACGCCTACAATTGATTTACAAAATTAAATACTGACATTCAGGTGCAGAATGGTTACAGAGACACTCCTGAGTCTAAAAGAAAGCATCAATGTGTTGTAGGTAATGACCTGTTTTTTTTTTTTTTTTATCTCTTCCCGCTTGCGTCTCCCTCCCTCCCACCCTCCCTATGCCACCCCTCCAGGCGGTCACAAAGCACCGAGCTGATCTCCCTGTGCTATGTGGCTGCTTCCCACTAGCTATCTACCTTACGTTTGGTAATGTATATATGTCCATGCCTCTCTCTCGCTTTGTCACAGTTTACCCTTCCCCCTCCCCATATCCTCAAGGGTAATGACCTGTTTTAATGCTAAACATGTTATTAACATCGTAAGCCTTGCCATTTCCATTAAATTGAGGGAAAGGACAGAAAGGAAGTGTGAATTACGAACTGCTTTAGTAACTTGTTAAAATGTAAAATATCAAACATATACCAAAGTAGAAAGAATAGAATAGAAACTCCCATGTACAAAACGCCCCGCTTGAACCCCCCAGGTTGAATTTCACCTGCGCAAACCGTATCCTAACAGTTGGTGCAAAGTAAATCCCAGCTCAGCTCAACCTCATGATCGCAAAATCCAGTGAGAATGAGCTAAAGGGATCTTAGAAATCATCTAGTTAAATGTTTACCACCCAAGGTACATGGTAAACCAGTAAATTATCTCAATTTTCCACTTTAGACTCAAAAAAGTGAGGTGCAGGAAGGAGGGAGAAAAGATGAAAGGAGTCCAGCTCTAGTGATTACCTCCCTCAACAGAGGTTGCGCACTAGCTCCTCGGCACCTGGAGGCATCCCTACCAGCTGCCCGGCCTGTGGGGCGAGAAGGCCCCACGCTGTCCCGCAGGGGAGCTCCCCTAGGCAGGGTGCTCCAGCCTCCTCATGCCTGCCTCAAACAGAGCAGCTCCACTCTGGACTTTCTTATCAGACTTCCTCCCTCCCTCCCTTCTTCCTTTCTTTCTTTTTTAAATGAAAGGCATCTCCCATTCCTAAAAAAAAAGGTCAAAACCTCAAATTTAGTTTAATTCTCCTTCCCATTTTATAGGTAAAGAAACCGAAGTCCATTAAGCATGAGGTTACCCAGCTGGTCAGAGGCAGTTAGGGAAAG